CCTCCTATGCTAGCAGTGATAGTATGCCCAAATAAATCCATATAAAGCAATTGCAAAGGCTTAGAGGTAGATACAATATCCTTATTTTTGAAAGAATTTCTAGTTTGTTTTCCAATTTGACAAGCATCACATATATGATTTCTAGAGAAATTTAGTTTAGGTAAACCAATAACTAACTCATGATTGGAAAGTTTTTCTATCAAATGCATGCTTGCATGACCAAGTTTCTTATGCCATAACCAAGGATCATCAGATATGGAGGTTAAACAGATATGACCATCTATATTTTCAAATCCATCAAGAATATAAACATTTCCATACCTTTTACCTGGGAGGATTATTTTACCTGTCTCATCTTCAATAGCACAACCTGTTTTCTTGAACTATACTTCATACCCTGAGTCGCATAGCTGACTTATACTTAGAAGATTGTAGTTAAGTCCGTCAACGAGATAGACCTCGGTGATATCACAGTTGTTATTGAAGGGGACTGTTCCGGTACCGGCTATTTTTTCTTTTGCATCATCACCGAACTTAACACTTCCTCCCTCTATTTTTTGTAACTTCCTTAAATAGGTTTTCATCACCTGTCATGTGACTGGAACACGCACTATCTAAGTACCATTTTCCTTTGAGACTCCTCCTGTGGTGTTCCTGCAAAACATAGTGATTACTTTCTTTTAGGTACCCAAGCTTGCTTGGGTCCTGGTTTGTTAGTATTACTTGACTCAGAATTGTTCTTGGGTTTCCAAATCAAACCTGAAACATTTGATTTACGAAATTGACAAAAGGAATATCTATGTACACTTTGTTACAGTAGTGACATGTAACTCCTGATCCATTTTTGGATCTTTCATTAGTGTTAGTACTAGTAGACTCTGTTCTGGCTAATCCTTCTCCATTTGACTTGTAAGTCGTCTGGTTTGACCTGACAGAACTATGACTAGTGGATTTGCGCATGTCATTGAGTTGAATTTTCAATTCCTCAAACTCTTCTTGAAGCACTTCTTTTTCGATTTCACATACTTCATGTTTGAGTTTCCAGTCTTTTACTTCTTTGTTGAGTCTCTTTAGTTCATTCATCATTTTTTGAGACTCTTTCAAAGTAAGGTCAAGAATATCCTGCAATTCATTACACCTTTCACAGTCATAAGATCTTACCTCGCTTGTTTCACCTCGTGCCATGAAACAGTTCTCATTGTCATCTTTGCATTCATCATCTGAAGTGTCCTCATCTGTCCAGCATCCTGAAAGTTTGTTCATGTCATTTTCCAGAATTGTCATGAAGCAAAGATTTGGTATTTCTTCGTGTTCTGAACTGTCTTCATCACTCCAACTTCCAAATGATTTGTTCATGTTGAAGAGTCTGGAGATTATTCTTTTTAGATCTAGACATTCAAATTGAACATGTCCAAATCTTCCACACTCATAGCATTTGCCATCATTTTTGTCTTTTTCATTATATTGCCTAGATCGCCTGGGTGGCATCCTTCCTCTTCTCGTATTCCTGTATCTTCTCATTAAACCATCCATGTTTCTTAACATCATGGCGATCTCTTCTTAAAGAGTTTCAGGATCATCATCGATATCATTTCTGCTATTTCAGTTGTAGCCTTGAATTCAACAGTTTTCTTCTTTTCTTCCTGGTTTGTTTTCTTGAGATGAGTTTTCTCGAATGCTATGATTTCTCCTCGAAGTTCATCATATGATAGCTTATTCAGATCCTGTGATTCAAGTGTCACCACTTTGGTCTGCCAGGTAGTGGGTAGGCTTCTAAGAATCTTCCTGACTTGATCACCACTTGAGTATGGTTTGCCAAAAGCTTTTAGGTCGCTGATGATTTTGCTGAATCTAGCAAACATCTCTTCAATAGATTCTCCTTCTTTCATCTGAAAGAGTTCATAATCATGAACCAACATGTTGATATGTGTTTCCTTTACTTTGCTTGTTCCTTCGTATGTAACTTCAAGTTTATCCCACATCTCTTTGGCTGTATCGCAACTGGAGATTTTCTCATACTCTTCACCACTTATAGCATTGTAGAGCAAATTTCTTGCCTTATTGTTGACTTGTACAACAACCATTTTCTCATCGGTATATGAATTTATATCTTCTGGATCAGCAAGTGGTTGAGCAGCAGCCGGCAGAGGATAGTCCCCTTCTTGATAACTCTCCAAACTTTAATATCATAGGCCTTTGCATATATTTCCATACGCACTTTTCAGTGAAAGAAATGTTGTCCATTGAAGTATGGTGGCCTTACTTGCGAAGTTCCTTCTTGGAAGAGTGCTCCTATCATAACTTGATTTGACATAATCTTTTCTCACAAGGTGTTAAGCAAAAGAAAAATGTAACCCTTGCTCTAATACCAATTGAAAGTAGAAGAGGGGGGTGACTTGTTTATTTTTATATTTTAATCACTACAAGTTGACTAATTTTCTAATTAGTCGACTAGATATAATAACTTGATAACAGTAAAGGCAGGATTTAAGATGCAGAAATAAAGTGTAGGAATTAAATACACAGGAATTTTTATACTGGTTCGGATTCAATGTGAATCCTATTCCAGTCCCCTTGGGTTGCAAGGGAGTTCTCTTTCAGTGAATGAGTTTCTCGAGTACACAGTGAATGGTGTGATCTACACCAATAGCTCAGTTCCTATATCACTCGTTTCTCTTTGATACAATGGCTCACCAGTATTGGTCTCTCTTTCTTCTCTAACTTGTTACACAGCAGATCTAGTAGAGCTACAATGTTTGTTTGCAGTAGAACAAAGAGAGGGTATTTGGTTCGATCAAAGTATATTTTACTAAGACTTAAGGTTGTGTATAAATACTTTGTAGGAGGTCGTTTGCTGAAGAGATTTGACAACCCAAGAGATTTGATTCTTGGAAAGAGATTGACTCTTTCCAAGAATAAGGTTATTTGTTGTTGCTCTTCCTCGATGAAAGGGCATTCATAGCTTTCCTTCTACAGATCTTGATGAGCGAGTTTTACTCCTTGATTGTTGGTCCTTCCGAAATTAGCAGCTTGCTTGTTGCTCTTCCTCATTTATAGCTTTCCTTCTACATGCTTTGATAACGAGGGTTTTACTCCTTGATTATTGATCCTTCCGAGAATAGCAGCTTGATTGATTATCTTGCAAGATCTTCGATGCTTGTTTCAATCAATCTCTGATTGGTTTCCATTCAGAATCTCTAGATGGTTAATTGATTCCTTCCTTTTGATTTCTTCAATCTTGGATGCTTCCTTGAGTTCCTATACCAAATGCAGTTATATTATTTTTCCTCATTAAAATTAAAAGCTAACAATGTTTTAGTTCAATGTCTTGATGGACTTAATTTGTTGTAAATTATCCATTTTAAAAATGGGAAATTATCAGCTATGTCCATTTATAGGTAGCTCATTACAAAAATTGGTCAATTGATAAAATATTACTAATATTAGCCAAATTAGCCAATTAGCTATTTGTAGCAAAAAAATATCAAATTTTTGCTTTGTTTTGAGTGGGTGTTATTAGAATAGATTGGACACAACTTAAGGACCTTAAATCTCAGTTTTGGGATGATTTGGTGAAGTTTTGAGGTGGTTTGAATTGAAATTCGGTAAAAACTGAACATGAAAAAAATAATATGTGTATCACACTGTGTATCACATATATTTGTATCTATTGTGTATCACATGTATATCCATGTATACCTGTGTGTGATATACATGCGTGATACATGTTTGATATATGTGTCGCAAAAGACCTTTTTGAACTCGATTTAATTACGAATTTTGATACAAAACCGGTCCAAATCACCTCCAATCTTCCTCAAATTTTGTATATTGACTTATCTATATATTTTAAATGAATTTCAACTATACCCATTGAAAAACTTCCTTTTTTGTTTAAATTTTTAGAATATTGTATATATTTTTGTATTTCATCACCTTATTTGCTACCTCATCCATAAAATTTCTTTTCCGTCTTAAGTGTTGCTAATCACACTTAAAAATATGGAAGGTGATTTTTGCATGTGATTCTTTGAGAGAAAGAACCCTATTATTTGGTTTTTCAATTTTTGTTGGCTAGTTTGGTAAGTCTATGATTAATGGCTAGAGGTTGGTAAGTTGAGATTTATTTGGGACATTTGTGTAAGTTTCCTTTAAAAATTACAGTCTTTTTTAGTACAACAGAAATTATATTTGAAGTTTTATCAGACCTTTCTACAAGAAACCAAATCCAAACGTAAGAAGCCGACAACCGCAGGGCCTAAGGAGCCGAATGCCGACGTCTCCCCGTACGTCAGCATTAAAAATAACATCTTTGTCCCAGCTGCTAAATTTAGATAAAATAATGTAACGTTACAGATTATTGGGTTGACCGACATTATTCAAAATACATATAGTAATGATTTGGAATAAATAATTTGAGAAATACATAACTTTGAAAGCTCAGTACAAAAGGTAACAAATAAAACTGATCAAGCTAGTATTGTAAATGCCGCAACCTTTGTTTGTTACTCCCTCCGGTTCACAATAAGTGACCGGTGTATTTTTTCATTTTGGTCCAAAATAAGTGTCCAGTTATGTAATCAAGAAATAATTCAATTTGTTTTTACTCTTTTACCCTTATGTGCATATCCCTAAAAAGTTTTCTCACTCCTCACTATAACTATATGACCAATATTTAATAAGGGTAATTTAGTCATACTAGGTATTTTTGTATAGGATTTAGCATTTTCTTAATGGGCGTGCTAAAAGGAAACTGGTTACTTATTGTGAATCGGAGGGAGGCTCCAAGCAATCTTAACATTAATAAAAAAGTCGTGTGTCTAGAAACTTTCAAAAGTAGCCAGCAATATTTAATGAATAGAAGCGTCCACGACTTCGTATTAAGTCGTCATCGCAAATGCAATCATTATATCATTAAGCTTCAAGTGTCAAACAAGAAATAAATTTGATTGGTGCTTAGGAAATTTCTTTATGATTTTTCAAGCTATAAAAGAACACCAAGATCAATTCATACCACCATAACAAAATCTTTTAACATAATAACAGTTGTAAGAGTTAGAAATTTTAAGAGTATGTCAGGAGTGAAGTTGCTTGGACATAGTGGGAGCCCTTTTAGTCGCAGAATTGAATGGGCTCTGAATATTAAGGGCATAGTATATGAGTTGATAGAAGAAGATTTACAGAACAAGAGCCCTCTGCTTCTTCAATCAAACCCTATTCATAAGAAAATCCCAGTGTTGTTGCACAATGGCAAGCCCATTGCTGAGTCACTTGTAATTGTTGAATATATTGATGAGACCTTTGATGGCCCTTCCATTTTGCCTAAAGACCCTTATGACAGAGCAGTCGCACGTTTCTGGGCTAAGTTCCTCGATGAGAAGGTAAGTTGAAATCCCTTTCTCTATGTTGCTACATACACACATTTACACCTTGGTAATGTCATCCTTCTAAGTAAATGGCCAATGAGTCTTCTCTTCATGTTTAATGTGCTGAGAGCAGGGGCGGATTTAGGGGACGAAGGGGGTTCGCCCGAAAATATATAAGGCAAAATCCGTCTTGTGTCTCTACATATTATATATCCCCTTGACATAGCCCAAAAGTATAGCTCAATGGTTAAGGGGGGTTCAAAACCTTTGTGAGGTCACTAGCTCAATTCTCACTGGCCATAGTCTCTTTTAATTTTTAATTTTTATTTTATTTTTTGAACTCCCTTAACGAAAATCCTGCCCTTGCTACTAGCTGGGAGAATAGATTGTTGTCTCGTTATATGATCTAGAATAATTTTTATTTTTACCTCATGTATTACCTTTTAGGTATTATTAACAGCAGGTTGCCACTTACCCAATTTTTTCAAATTAGACTCATGATAAAGGACATTCTGTTACACTAAGCTTCTATTATACGCGGAATTCGAGGAAAGATTGAATCACATTAGAATTGATGTATGTAGCCTTATCTTTATAAGAAATTATTTTCGTAGCTTGAACCCGTAACCCGTAACTTCGTGATTATACAGCGGCAAATTTTACTGTCACGCCGAGGTTTTCCTTGTAAATTACACCCGCGATTATCACTTTCGTACTCCAGACCTTTGGCATAATTCTGAAAAAGTGACCAACTTCTAAATATAAAACCACAAAAGTGATTATTGTATAAATCAGATTGAGTAAGGTCAAAGTCTGTTTTCTTTGTAGCTCACTTAGTTTATAATTTCCTACCTTTTCTCAGTGCTTGCCAGCAGTGTGGAAAGCTTTGTGGAGCAAAGGAGAGGAGCAAGAGAAAGATAAAGAGGAAGCTTATGAGGTGCTTAAAGTTCTAGACAATGAACTCAAGGACAAGAAGTTCTTTGGCGGAGAAAAATTTGGATTTGTTGACATAGCAGCCAATTTTGTCGGATTTTGGATAGGAATTGTTGAAGAAGCTACTGGAGTAGTGTTAGTGACTAGTGAAAAGTTTCCCCATTTTTGTACGTGGAGAGAGGAGTACCTTAACTGCAGCCAAGTCAAGGAAAATATGCCTAATAGGGAAATGTTGCTTGGTTATTTCAAAGGTCGAGTCCTAGCTGCCACTCCTCCCAAATGAATATCTCAAGCCAACTATGAAATTTCAACATCTTTTTGTGGGAATAAATCTAGCTAGCTTTCTAGAAATGAGACTTGTCATAGGAAAAATAAAGCTTTCTCAAATTAGTGATGTACTTGTTTTCCTTTTTTCAAAATCCTTTTATATTGTTATAATTTACGTATTGTAAGAATAAACTGTTCTTGATCGTGTCTTTTATGGATTGATGTTGAGATCGAGATCTTCTGTTAGTTGGAACACTGCATCCTATTTGGAGGGTGAAGTACATAAATGACCCTCGAAGTGGGTCGTCTTTGAATTGTTATCTAACAAGTGTTGACTCTTGTTTGCTCACGGGTAACACTTTTAACTTTTGATCTTAAAATTCTACTTATGGGTAAGCGAGAATCAAAAATTAAAAGATCATCCAAAAAAAGTTTATATTTCTGCAATTTTTTGCTATTTCGACCCTCCAAAATCCAAAACCCTTCATTTGATTGAAGATTGAATCACGGTGTCGCCTATCAGGCCTTTGAACAATTTGTGGTTTTATCCTTGTAAAGCCTTCTAAACTTTTGGAGTTTTGGCATGGTATAGCAACATACTTATATAATTGGCAAAAAATAACTCCGGTTATAGATATTGGCATCAAATAGCCAATAAATATATATCGCAATAATAATATGTATATCACAATTTTTTTTCTTCTTTGTCTATACGAACATGTATATTAAACTTTTATTTTCATTATTTATATATAAATAATATTATTCTTTGTATATTAATAATATAAATTATATATATAGTTGTTGCATTTATATCAATGTATATCACAATAAAAGTATTGTATTATTTGTATATTACAGTGTATAACACATTGGACATATGTATAACAAAATAGATATCACTAGTTTATTTCTCTTCTTTGTGTACATCAAAAACTAATATTCTTTGTATACTAAAATATTATTTACTCCCACAATTATATTTATTATTTTATATTTTAGAACTTGCTTAAACATGCTATATCAAAAATTTATTTTTCTTTTTTGATCAATAATTAATAATTATATTATTTGTATATCAGAGTGTATAACATAATAATAATGTGTATATCAAAAAAAATTACTAAAATTTTATTTTCCTTCTTTGTATAACACATTTAAGATTGAAAATTCAAGTTCAAGATGACTCCACATGTGTATCCCTATTGTAAATCGTGTATATCTTTATGTACATCAGTGATATCTCATGTATATTATAGTTGTACCTGTGTATATCCATGTAAAATTTGTGTTATATATA